CTGATAGGGGGTTTATACCTATCAACCAGCACACAAGGAGTGCCTGAACGGCGCATGAGCTACCCGAGCAGTAAGCCGCCACTACCACCAGTCCTACGCATCGGACTGTACTAGCCTGATAGGGGGTTTATACCTATCAACCAGCACACAAGGAGTGCTTGAACGGCGCATGAGCTACCCGAGCGAGAAGCCGCCACTACCACCGGTCCTACGCAGTGGACCGTACCGCACTGATAGGGGTTTATACCTATCAACCTGCGCACGCGTTGCGCCCTGATCTGCGCTCGAGCCGGATCAGTAAGTCGCACTACCACCCTGATGGGGGGTTCATACCCATCCGGTCCCACACAACGGACCGTACCAGCCTGATGGGGGGTTCATACCCATCCAGTCCCACACAACGGACTGCAACTACCAGCCTGATGGGGGGTTCATACCCATCAACCGAAGGATCGGCTACCGTCAGAAGGAGTATCCTGAGGTTTTACCACGTGTCCACCAAAGGGATCGACTACGTCAGAAGTAGTATCCTGGAAGTGCACGAATACACAATTTTCCCCAGAACATCACCCGCCGCATAAACGAAACATCTGAAGGGCAACCGGGCAAGAGGGTCAACTCCTTTACCTTCCTGTCAATCTGTCTGGCACAACAGACCAACAATTGACTAGTCAGGTAAAGGGGGGGCTGCTGTAGACCCCAAATCTTGCCCGAACTCCAAATAAAGACCAAAAGACCTCCTATTTGAAGATGGACGAAGCCTAACAAGCCATTAGGAGAGACTATTAGGCCCCATACTAGGATAGGAGGGATTTTCTGCACAAAAAATAAGTTTTCTCGCCTTGTTGGGACGAGACCACCGTCTGGATTTCCCAGACCGTCGTCTCGCCTCATGCAAGTGGCGAGACCGCCGTCTCGCTTGACGAGACGGTGGTCTCGCCACCTGCGAAGGGTGAGACGGCGGTCTCGCCGCATTTGACAGGGCGAGACGGTGGTCTCGTTGGACAAGACGGCGGTCTCGACCCTGTCAGACGAGACCGGCGGTCTCGCCACTGACAGGCGCGGAAACCTATAAATAGGGGTCCTCCCCCCCTCATTTCCACACACCTCAAGCATTAGCTCTGCCTTCTCTCTAAAAACTTCTCTCTAGAATCCCTCTGACGCATTTCCAGAGTTTTTGAGTGTCTTTGAGAGCTTTTTTCGGCGTCTAGAAGAGTTTCTGACGTCTTGTAGAGTGAAGGGCTGCCAAAAAGCACCCTCTTTTCAAAGAGAAATATAAAAAGCTTGCTTCGGAGGTTTAATTTCTCCCTCTCTACTTTTAACGCTTTAATTTTAATTATGCAATAGATTAGGGCCATGTAGTCATCGCTTTAAATTCCGCATAATAAAAAGGGTAAAAGCATATTTTCCGGTTTATTTATTAACAATAAAAGCTGGTTCTAATACTCCCTTTACACGTAACTAACTCCCTTACCCAACTCTGGTTCTAATGACCAAAGTTGGTTTTTGAAAACCAACGCCTTTAAAAACCCCTTTTCCGATGTTTCCGGTAAAAACATCGGTGGCGACTCCATAGAACCCCACAAAAATTAGTCCTTGGGTTAGCCCGGTTATCGGACAACCCAAGGACGCCCTTTTGAAAACCTCGCCCCTAGGTTAGCCCGGTTATCGGACAACCTAAAGGCGTTGTAACCACCTATAAAAAAACGCAAAAAATAAAAGGGTCAAAAAACCATCGCGTCGCTCCGACCACCATCTTTTTTACGACGGCGACAGCTACAAAGAAAGCAAATAAATTATAGAGCCTAAAAGAGTGTAATGGAATTTTTTTACTAAGAATTTTCCCTAACACAAAAAATTGTAGAAATTTCTAACTGGAGTAATTATGAAAACTAAATTCCTAAAAAGCAAGACTATTAGTCAAAACAAATAGAAGAATATAAAAAATGAGCTTGAAACACCATAGTGGAATTTGTTTACTAAAAAAATTTCCCAGAGAAACTCCTAGAAAAAAAAAAAAATTACCCGACACAAAAAACTGTACGAATTTCTTATAGGTGTGACTGCGAAAACTAAAATCCTAAAATGTAAAAACATTGCTCAAAACAAATAGGAAAATAAACAAATGAGCTTGAAAGAGTGTATCGGAATTTTTTTTATTACAAAAATTCCCAAACACAAAACTACTAGAAAAATAAAAAACTGAGCTTGAAAGACTGTAGTGGAATGTCTTTACCCACCATAAAAAATTGCAGAAATTTCTTACTAGTGTAACCACAAAAACATAGTTCCAAAAATGTAAAATTATTGCTACAAAGAAAACAACTAAATTATAGAGCCTAAAAGAATGCAGTGGAATTTTTTTACTAAGAATTTTTCCCAACACAAAAAATTGTAGAAATTTTTAACTGGAGTAATTACGAAAACTAAATTCCTCAAATGCAAGAATATTACTCAAAACAAATAGAAGAATAGAAAAAATGAGCTTGAAACACCACAGTAGAATTTTTTTTACTAAAAAAATTTCCTAGAGAAACTCCTAGAAAAAAAAAAACAAAATTCCCCGACACAAAAAATTGTACTAATTTCTTACCGGTGTGACTGCGAAAACTAAAATCCTAAAATGTAAAAATATTGTTCAAAACAAATAGGAAAAAAACAAATGAGCTTGAAAGAGTGTAGCGGAATTTTTTTTATTACAAAAAATCCCGAACACAAAACTACTAGAAAAATAAAAAATTGAGCTCGAAAGACTGTAGTGGAATGTCTTTACCCAGCAAAAAAATTGCAGAAATTTCTTGCTGGTGTAACTACAAAAAATGAGTTCTAAAAATGTAAAATTATTGCTACAAAGAAAGCAAATAAATTATAGAGTCTAAAAGAGTGCAAGTGGAATTTTTTTTACTTAGAATTTTTCCAAAACACAAAAAATTGTAGAAATTTCTAATTGGAGTAATTACGAAAACTAAATTCCTAAAAGGCAAGAATATTACTCAAAACAAATAGAAGAATAGAAAAAATGAGCTTGAAACACCAAAGTGGTTTTTTTTACTAAAAAATTTCCCAGAGAAACTCCTAGAAAAAAAAAACAAAATTCTCTGACACAAAAAATCATACGAATTTCTTACCGGTGTGACTGCAAAAATTAAAATCCAAAAATGTAAAAAATTGCTCAAAACAAATAGGAAAAATAAACAAATGAGCTTGAAAGAGTGTAGTGAAATTTTTTTTATTACAAAAATTCCCCAACACAAATCTACTAGAAAAATAAAAAATTTGAGCTCGAAAGATTGTTGTGAAATGTCTTTACCCAACACAAAATATTACGAAATTTCTTGCTTGGTGTAACTACAAACACTGAGTTCCAAAAATATAAAATTATTGCTACAAAGAAAGCAAATAAATTATAGATCCTAAAAGAGTGCAGTGAAATTTTTTTTACTAAGAATTTTCCCCAACACAAAAAATTGTAGAAATTTCTAACTAGAGTAATTACGAAAACTAAATTCCTAAAAAGCATGAATATTACTCAAAACAAATAGAAGAATAGAAAAATTGAGCTTGAAACATCACAGTGGAATTTTTTTACTAAAAAAATTTCCCAGAGAAACTCCTAGAAAAAAAAACAAAATTTCCCGACACAAAAAATTGTACGAATTTCTTACCGGTGTGACTGCGAAAATTAGAATCCTAAAATATCCGTCGGTAAAATCCTAAAATATCCGTCGATAGTTTCTGTCGGTAATAACTAATTTTCCGACGGCTACAAATCCGTCGGTAAAAATCCGTCGGAAATAAGCGATTTTCTTGTAGTGGTTGTGATTTGCATATTTTTTCTATATGTCCCAGTTGACCATATTTGTGACATTTCACATTAGCTCTCCACCAACACTTGTTGGGTGTATGATTATTTTTCTTGCAATAAGGACAAACAAAAAAGACTCGTGATTTTGTACCTTTGTTGTTCTTGGCTTGGACAGAACCTCCATCATGATATAGTAAAGAACCTTCACTAGCAGCATGATCTCCTCTCATCAATCTTCGTTGCTCTTGTGCTTGTAAAACATGTAACACTTCTACCAAAGTAATATTAGACAAATCTTTTTGTGTTTTCCAATGAAGCAATAAATGTTTCATATCTCTCTGGCACAGTTACTAGAATTTTCTCAACTATTCTGGAATTAGGAAATTCCTTGCCTAACAATTTTATTTTGTTAGCAATACCCAACAATTTGTTTGAGTATTCATTAATTGTTTGAGACTCTTGCATCTTTTGTATCTCAAATTCTCTTATCAAGTTTAGAACTTTCATACCTCGAATTTTTTCATTCCCTTCATATTGATCCTTCAAATAATCCTAAATTTTTTTGGGTGACTTTAGCATCATGATTCTGGTGAGGATCATTTGTGAAACACTAGTAAACATACATGATTTAGCTTTTGCCTTCCTCGTTTTTCTTTCTCTATGAAATTTCATTTCAGCTATGGTGGGATTTTCAGGCAGTGAATCAACAATATAATCTTCTTCTACAACTTCTCATACATTCAATCTTTTAAGATAGGATTACATTCTCACAGCCCATAAGTCATAACTTTCACCATAAAAAACTGGAATAGTGACTTGTGAAAATTTTTTTTCTCCTTCCATTGTGTCGAACTAAAGCTCAGATACCAATTCGTTGAGAATTTTTAGGATTTTGTATATATGTATTTCTGATATATCATGTAGATATATTTCTATTCATGTACTCTATGTATATATAAAGTAAAAATATTACAAAATATCAAATGTTAATAGTATCTCAATCATAATTGTCTAACTTATAAATAATAACATAATGTCTTTTATCTTCTCTCTTCAAAATAATAAAATATCTTAATAAGTAATATTCCCCGTAGTGATTTGTTCTTTTGTTTTCGTGATCGGGATTATTAGTATTTCTTGGTTGACCATCAAGAAGAGAAGAACCGAGGATGGTTTTGGTTTCGATAGAGAAACTATGCCTAGAAGGTTTGGTTACAGCGAATTAGTTGCAGCGACCAACGGATTTGCAGACGATGAAGGCTCGGAGAAGGAGGCTCTGGACAAGTTTACAAAGGATTTCTGAGTGATTCGGGGCGCGTGGTTGCAATCAAAAGGATTTTTTCTGATGTCGAAGATTCGGAGAGAACATTTACGAACGAGGTGAAGATTATAAGTCGTCTCATACATAGAAACCTTGTGCAATTCATGGGGTGCTGCCACCATCAAGGAGAGTTGTTACTGGTTTTTTAGTACATGACTAATGGAAGCCTTGACAATCATCTCTTTGGCAACAGAAGAACTTTGAAATGGGGTGTGAGATACAATATTGCGTTAGGTGTGGCTAGGGCACTTCGTTATCTTCATGAAGAAGCGGAGCAGGGTGTTCTTCACAGGGATATAAAGTCAGAAAATGTTTTGTTAGACACAGATTTCAACACAAAGATTAGTGACTTTGGGATAGCAAAGTTGGTGGATTCAAGATTGAGGACTCAGAAGACAAAGGTGGTGGGGACATATGGGTACCTAGCTCCAGAATATATAAACGAAGGGAGGGTTAGCAAAGAATCTGACATGTACGGTTTTGGGGTGTTGGCTTTGGAAATAGCATGTGGAAGGAGGACTTACCAGGATGGGGAATATAATCATGTGCCTTTGAAGAATTGGGTGTGGAAACATTACTTGGATGGGAAGATTTTGAATGCTGCTGATGAGGAATTGAAGAGGGATTTTGATGTGAATGAAATGACATGCTTACTCACTGTAGGAATATGGTGTACCCTCCAAGACCACAAGGAAAGGCCAATGGCAGAACAGGTTATTAATGTTCTCAAACAAGAAGTGCCATTGCCAATGCTTTCTGCACAGCTGCAAAACATGCAGGATTCTCCCTCTGATCTTACCAATGGGTAACCAGATTCCTTTCAATCGTCATCCATAAAAATCCCTTCCACTTTCAAATCTTTAGATCTAAAGACACTATTTCATGATTTCTATTTTAAGATTAAATGTAAAATGTACAAATATACATGTTTTGCTTATGAGAAGAATCCCTCACAACAGCAATTTTCTTTAATTTGTCCGAAATATATATTGTCACTTAGTAGACAGAATGAATATTGTTCACATGTCAAACAAAATTAAATTTATGTTCTTCATATGGAAATTTCTATCTTTAAAAAAAGTTATTATTTTCACAATTTTTTTTAAGTAAATCTTTGATATATATACTTAACACACTATCCTTATATAATCAATCACAAATTAACAATTAATTAAAATACAAATATTCTACCATACAAATGATTCATAAAAATATTTATTAATTTATAAAATGTATGGAATAAATTCTAACAAAAAATATTATTCCGTGTGTTTGTACATATATTACATTATTTTATCTTTTTATTTATGTCTAAATAATTTATAATTCCTTGCATATTAAATTACTAAAACATAAAAATTGATAAATAGAAAACCAAATCAACATTTCATAAAGCAATAGAAGAATATAAATAATAAAATATACAGGACCTGGTGATAAAAGAGATAGAAGAAGAATATGTAATATAAATTTAGAATTTAATGTCTATGTAGTGTAAAATAATTTTAGAATATAAGTAGTTGTAAACAATCAACTATAAATAAATGTAATTATGGTAAAAAAATCGATAAATGCTCATACAAGATTATTTATTTTCTCCATTCTAAATAGTGGTTTAACTTTAAATGTTTTATTTTTTTTAATATATTTTAAATAATCTACATCAATATTTGTCTTTATAAGACATAAAGAGTAGCAGTTATTTTAGAACAGAACAGAGTATATGAAAATGTTCACCTACTCCACCGCCTGAGCCGGTATATCATATGAAACAAGCTAAACTAAAATAACGACAAGTCAAATCATCCTTCTCCTTTCATTAACTATATTTTCTCCTTCCTTTTCCTCTTATTACAGACAAGGCCCACATTCGACGAAACACAATCTCTTTCGTCGCAACTCCTCTGTTCACTCTTTACAAGTGAGTCTTTTCCCTTCCAAGTGCTTTTTTCCTGTGCTTTTTTTCTTTGCTTGGACGCCCAGCGTCCAATCATGTGATATTTGTAAGTTTTTTACGGAATAGCAGCTGGGGTTTCTACAAAATTCTTGCTTTCTGTACTTTGATCTACTTGTATAAGAACTTAACTTGTTAAAGAGCGAGATGAAGATGAATAGGATGGTGTTTTTTGTTCCCCCTTTTTACCTCTGATGTTGTTTTCTTTCCTTTTTTGGACTAATGAGTTTATATTTTTATTTGTCTGCTTTGTTAGAGATTAGAGATATGCTGAAGTGTTCAGAATTGCTTGATTTTACTACTGTTCAATTTTAATGCCAACATGATGATGAAATCGAAGTTTGAGTGTGGAAACCAAGATGCTAATGTTGATGATGGAGAAATTAATTGGAATAATGGTCAACTGCTACTGCAAGACATTCAAGAAATAAGCAAAGCTCTTTATGCTCCTTCTAGGCCTTCCTTCTCCTCTGTTCGTAATCGATCCAAATCTGCCGGAAAAGCCCAGTTGTCGAAATCTCAAGTTGCCTTAACCCCGGGATTTCTAAAGGATGATCCGTTACCTAAGGACAAGAAATTGTCTTCGGCGTGGAATTGGAAGAAGCCATTGAAAGCTTTGACCCATATTGGTGATCAAAAAATCAAATGCTGCTTTAACCTTCATGTCCACTCAATTGAGGGTCTGCCTTTGAGTTTTGATGGAATTAGGTTATGTGTGCTTTGGAAAAGGAAAAGCAACATTTTGCAGACGCGCCCGTCAAGGGTTCTCCAGGGTGTTGTAGAGTTCAATGAAACTTTGAGTCATGGATGTTCTGTTTATGTTAGCCGCGCTGTGTCTGCTCACTCTATGAAGTATGAGTCTAAGAGGTTCCTGATTTATGCCTCTATTGTGGAGGCACCTGAACATGACATAGGGAACCATCAAGTGGATCTCACAAGGCTTTTACCTCTGAGTTTAGCAGAGTTAGGGGGTAATAGAAGTTCAGGGAAATGGAGCACAAGTTTTAGGTTGTCAGGAAAAGCTGTAGGAGCTAGCCTAAATGTTAGTTTCAGCTATCAAATAATGAAGGATGAGTTAATGCAATTTGGTGGTGATAATTTGAATGTTCTCGACCTTATTAATCTGAAGCCAGGCAGGCCAAGCAGCACAAGCAGTGTTATGGATTTTGGTCTTGTCCCTTTTCATTCTGATAATTTGATTTTATCCCCAGAAGCATTGATGAATTCTGGCTCAAGTCTTTCCAGATCAATCAGTTTCCTATATCAAAAACTGGATGAGGGGAACATCCATAATTCAGAACGAGCAGACACAGAACAATTTGGGCCACTTAAATCTCATGTTACAGAATCAGTGTCACCTCAACAATCAAATCAACATGAACCTGATGACGCTGAATTTTCCATTATAGAACATGTAGAAACATTGGAAGGGGATCCCTTGAAAATTGAAGGGGACCCCTTGAAAATTGATCAGTCAGGAAATCAAACAGTTGATTTGTCAACAGTTGAAATCATTAATGTGGATGATATTATTAAGGATGATGACATATTTGTTGACAAGAACACAAGTTTGGATTCAATGGATAAAATATGCGCTGGTTGTGTAAATGGGACTATGGCAGATGACAGCAAACACAAATGCAGTAGTTCAAGTGTCACTATAACTTGCATCAAGGATGGAGATATACTTCCTGAGACATCAGAGTTTCTTGAACGAGAACTCTACCCTGATGTCAAATCAAATTATAAATCACGTAGAATAACACAAAAATCAAGTAGCTTGGATTTTATCACTGAATCGATTGCAAATGATTTCTTAAACATGCTGTCCTATGAGAGTGGTTCATTTGGCTCAAGTTTTGATTGTGATCCTCAGTCTCCCAGAGAGAAGCTTTTAAGACAGTTTGAGAAAGAGGCTTTAGCTTCAGGTAATTTCACTTTTGATTTCAATGCAAATGACGAGGAATTGGGGACAGAGACACTTGGACATAGCTATGGGGATTACACTGTGGATTCTGATTTGTCTTTACTTATTCAAGCTGCTGAGGAGGAGCATGCCAGGGAGAATCAGTTATTAATGCAGAGAAGGAAGGCCAAAATTCTTGAAGACCTAGAGACTGACTCATTGATGCAACTGTGGGGTTTAAATGAGAGGGACTTTGAAAATTCTCTGGGAACTTTTTCTGGTGGATTTGGAAGTCCAATTGAACTACCCAATGAAGAATCGTCCATGTTACCTTCAATTGGACTGGGTCTTGGTTCATTTGTTCAAATTACGGGTGGAGGCTTTTTGAAGTCCATGAGTCCTTCCCTTTTCAGAAATGCTAAGAATTGTGGTAACCTCATTGCTCAGGCTTCTAATTCAGTTGTTCTACCTGCAAAAATGGGTACTGATATACTGGATATACTGCTGCATGTGGCTTCTGATGGAATTAATGAGCTTTGTGATCATATCCATATATTATTTCCTTTGCAAGATATCAATGGAAAATCCATTGAGCATATTGCGTGTGAAGCTACAACCAACATAGGGACTCCAGGAAGGTAAGCAGCTGTTTTTGTGGCATTACTTGTGAAAAACTCATTTTAATTTGATTTGAATTCTTTTACTGATCTCCTTTCTTAATTCTGTTTCAGGCAGAGGTCATGTCAGCATGATTTGTTTGATGAATTTCCATCTAATGATTTAACAGATGAAGGAATGAGCTTGGACACTGTATCTCTAGAAGCAATAGCTCCTATGGCTGTTAATAAGATTGAAGAACTTTTGATAGAAGGGTTGAGAATACAGTCTTGCACGTTGTACGAGGAGGCACCATCATATATCCGTCCCCAACATGCAAAGACGCCTTCCATTGGTAGCAGAAGAGCCAACTGGAAAGGGTTTGCCACATCAGAAAAAGCTGCTAAAATGAAACTAGAAGATGGTGGAGAAATTGGCCATGATGATCGTGGATTGATGGGGCTGTCAATAACATTAGATAAGTGGTTGAGATTGGACTCTGGCATCATTGAAGAGGATCAGAATTCAGAGAATATTTTGAAGATCTTACAAGTACACCATTCTAAAATCAGAGAGTTACATGGAGAGTTGAAAAATGAAATGGACCAGGTAAAAACATATGGCAGACAGCACGGACTCTTGGGGAACCACCTAACGGTGGCTTTTATGATCCAGCTTAGGAATCCTCTAAGAAATTATGAGCCAGTAGGTGCTCCAATGCTGGTTTTGACTCAGGTGGAAAGAGTTCATATACATGCAATGCAGCAAGAGGGCAGCAATTTTCTGGATAAAAGGGAAAAGGAAATAGAGAATGAGACCCTACTAAATAAGACAAGTAGCGAGCGTCTGGAAGATACGAATACCGATAATGAATCACCTCGATTTAGATTTAAAATCAAAGAGATTCATCTTTCTGGTGTCTTTGCCAAAGCTGGAAGCAGACAACTTTGGGGTACTGCAACTCAGCAACAGTCTGGGATCCGGTGGTTGTTTGGCAGTGGCATGGCTGGTACAGTCAAACATTCAACTTCATCATCGAAGGCAATTATATTATCATCTCCACTGTTTACCAAGAAGGTGCTGAATGAGGACATCCTGTGGAGCATTTCTTGTGTAAATAGTTTCACAAGGACTAATAGTAAAGAGCTGCCAGCTAAAAATGTACACATTCGGAACCCTGATATCATCTTCCCAAGTTGAACTGTCAGATCTTTCTTTACATGCAAATTTAGCCAATTTTTTAGATTTCTCGATGTAGATAGTTATTATATAGTACATTTCAAGGAATTTATACGAGTCATATTTCCCAAATTTTTAAAATATGTTAAAATTTCAGGCCTTTTGGGATCCTTTCTTCTTCCATCACCCTTCCTGATGTATACTCAAATTTAAATACGCCGTTTGTCTGTTTTGTCTGCATTGAAAAGTAACTGCTAAAGCTGTTTGCAATCAATAAAATGTAACTGATTTCGTCTATCTTATTGTGCCTTCACTTTTTAATGGTCATGGTGAACTTGTTCCTTGATAAAATAAATGTTGAATATAGTGAAAAATTAGTAATAAGATTAATGATCTTGTGGCTAAAATACATATAGGTAATATATTTATAATTAAGAGTTATACATGTAAATATGATAAATACATATAATGTGACTAATAATATTTAAAATATATAATATTTCTCCTCAAGTTGATACATATAAATTATATGTACCAAATTTGTTACAAATATAATTAATTCTAGGTCCCCGTAAAGACTTGGTGAAAATATTTGTTAACTGTTTACTTGAGTTAACAAACTTAATCTTAATGTCTCTAGATATAATCTTTTTCTAAATAAAATGACCTTCAATGTGTTTAGTCCTTTTATAAAAGACAGAATTAGAGTTAATATGAAGAGTAGTTTCATTGTCACATATAAGTGTCATTTTAGTAACATCTCCAAATTGCAACTCTTTAAGTAATTGTTTAAGTCAAACAAGTTCACAAGTGGTTGAGGCCATAAATATATTATGCTTCTAGACTAAATCTTGCCACAACACTTTGTTTCTTGCTCTTCCAAGAGATCAAATTACCTCTAATAAAAACACAATATCCGGAAGTAGATCTTCTATCAGAAGGAGATCATGCCCAGTCAGCATCTGAATAGCAGACAACTTTAATCTAGTTATTGTGATCATATAACAATCATTTTCCAAGAGATCCTTTAATATAATTTAATATATGGATGACTGCATTCCAATGATCTGCACATGGGGAATTAAGAAATTGGCTCAACACACTAACTACAAAGGAAATATATGGACAAGTAATAGTAAGATAGTTTAATTTTTCAACTAATCTTTTGTACTTCTCAGGATATGAGAGAGGTTTCCCTTGATTAGGTATTGGGATCCATGGGTGTGTCAACAGATTTTGAGTTCATCAACCCAGTTTCTTCTAAAATATTCAATACATATTTTCTCTGATATATAACAATACCATTATTAGATTGTGCTACCTCAATGCCCAAGAAATATTTAAGTTTGTCAAGATTTTTGGTCTGAAAGTGGTGACAAAGGTGTTGCTTCATTTGGGAGATGTTTTGGTGATCACTCCCTGTAAGAACAATATCATCAACATATATTATTAAATAGATACACCTAACACTTGAGTGACACTAAAATACTGAATGATCTGCTTCACTACGACTCATACCAAATTGTTGAATAACATTGCTAAATTTTCTAAACTAGACCCTAGGAGACTATTTTAGGTCATATAAAGATTTGTAAAGACGACTTACCAATCTAGAAGACTTCCCTTGAGCAACAAATCCTAGAGGTTGCTCCATATAAATTTTTTCTTGCAAATCCCCATTAAGAAAAGTATTTTTGACATCCAATTGGTAAAAAGATCATTGTTAAAGAACAGTTATGACTATGAATAAGCGAACATAAGCCATCTTTGCCACTAAAGAAAATATGTCACCATAAACCAAATCAAAATTTGTGTATAACCTTTAGCTACAAGACAAGCTTTGAGATAGTCAATAGTACCATCAGAACCAACTTTGATAGCAAAAACTCACCTGCAACCAACAACAGATTTCCAGACGGTAATGGGACGAGTTCTCAAGTTCCACTATTCTGAAGAGTATTCATTTCATCAAGCATGGTCTGACGTCAATCAAGATGGGCTAAGACATCACCTATAGATTTGGGAATTGACATAGAAGAAATGGACGAAAGACAGGTATAAAAAGGAAGAAATAATCTATGGTAACTGAAAGCAATATAATGAGGAGAATGATTACGAATAGAACGTATACCTTTACGAAGGGCAATTGGAAGGTCAAACTTAATTGTCGGAGCCGGAGAAGACAAAGGAGTTAGCATTAGAAGTGAGTCATTTGGTAGTTGTTGGGGTCATTGTCTTCGACTATAAACCTGAAGTGGTGGAGGTAGAGGAGAATCTAAAAGTGGGCTAATAAGAGAATCACACACAACAAGAATATTTATAGTAGCAAACGATGACACATACCGAGAAGAAAGACACTTAAAGTAAAAGGAAGACTCATTAAAGGTGACATTTTTCGAAATAAAATAATGGTTAAGAGAAGAGAAACACTTATATCCTTTTTGTGATCGAGTAAACCCTAAAAGAACACATTTGTGTGATTTATGAGATAATTTATCAAGACTATGATTAAAATTATGAACAAAACATGTAGGCTCAAAACTCTAAGAGGTAAGAGATGTATATGTTTAGGAGGAAATAAAAGAGAATGGGGAATTTTGTTATTTAGAATCGAAGATGGCATGTGATTGATAAGATAACATGCAATAAGAACATCACCCAAAAAATGTTTAGGAACCTCACCATGAATTAAAAGAGTGTGAGTTGTTTCAACAAGATGTCTATTCTTACGTTCAGCCACCCCATTTTGTTGAGGTGTATAAACACATGAAGTTTGACGAAAAATGTCATGAAAAGCCAAATTTTTTTTAAAAGAATGAGAAAGGTATTCACGATCATTATCACTTTGCAAAGTTTGAATAGAAATCCCAAACTGAGTTTTAATTTCATTAAAAAAGGATTGGAATATAGAAAATAACTCAAGGACGATTTTTCATTACAAGCAACCATGTACTTCTAGAATAATTATCAATAAAGGTAACAAAATACTGAAAATCTAAATTATACTTAACACGACTAAGTCCCCAAATATCAAAGTGAATTAATGCAAAAGGGGACGAAGCATGTTGTGAGACACTACGAGGATATAAACTACGACTATGTTTCCCTAATTAACATGACTCACATAATAAACTAGATAAATTGGACATATTAGGAACAAACTGTTACAATATGGCAAGACTGAGGTGACCTAGTTGAGCATGTAAGAGAGTTGGAGACTTCATAACTGTGTCAAAATGTGTAGAAGGACGAAAATAATAAAGATCATGAGACTCACATCCGGTGCCAATCATCTGTCTCAAACTCTAGTCCTGTAAACAAACAAAATCTTTAGTAAAAGAAATAATACAATCAAGAGAACGAGTTAAACGACTAATGGATAATAAGTTAAAGAGAGACATAGGGACATAAAGAACATTATCAATGGAAAAAGATGGGAAAAGTTTAACAGTACTAACACCATAAGACAAAATCCTAGACTCATTAATCATTGTAATCGAAGGTAAATTATCCAGAGATGATAAAGAAGAAAACAAAGATTTATTTCTATTAATATGATATGTGGCGCCTAAGTCAAGAACTAATGTCCAAGAGAAGGAGATTAAACTTGGTTAATAAAAGATGTACCTATGAGTGCAACAGAAGTAGTGGAACTAGAGTTCTAACGATCCTCGTACCATCTGAAAAATTCATTGAAAATAGTATATTTGTCTACGATATAAGATGACATAGGATCCACAGTAGATGATTGTGAGGTAGCAGAAGAAGTCACGAAGAAGAGAAAAAAAAATCCTAAAAACTTTAAATAGCGCATGGAGACTCTGATCTGGTGATCTCAATGACGTGGTGGTCGCTTAGTCAAGATGATTAGAATATTATAGTCGTGCGATCTGAACTGTTACGGTGACTCCGACAACAGCAACGATTCCAGCGGTAGTGGCGACTCCAACAACAGAGGCGGCAGCGGCAGGTGCAGGGTCAATGGTGGCAAAAAAAAAGAGAACTTAAGTTTTAAATATTATGTTAAATATAATGAAAAATTAGGTATAAGATTAATTCCCTTGTGTCTAAATTAATAATAGATATAAACATGGTAAATACGTTGAGTCATGGGCATACATACAAACAAGACTATATGCAGGTGTTAAGTGAACTACACCGTCACTAATACGTGGGTATGTGGGGATCAAGTATTCCAGAAGCTTATTAGGTTGTAGTACTATTTAATTAAGTTTCTAATAATACTTATGAGAAAAGAAAATTTAAAAGTAAGACAAATTAAATTAAATTAATATTTTTACAAAATAAAATTAGTTTATACATATAATTATAAAATATTTCTCATCTAAAAGTTCATTTTAATTTTGCAATTTATTTTTATCTTGCATGACAAACTACATTCATTTCATCTTTTCTTTTTCTTTAAGTATGTTCTAAGAAATGTAATAAAGCTTAATTCATGTTAAGCGTTGTTCATACTTCTTTGATGTTTGAGTGGAAAATCTACTTTTCTATCCTCGTTGAGTGGAAACAAGGTTAACTCACCGACCTGATATGGTGGCCTATTCCAATAGAGTTACACCACAAGAATTTTTATAATTAGCTAGGAAAATTAGCTACAAAATTTATTTTTCACTAATTTGTAGCTAATTAGCTATGGAATAGGGAAAGAATAAGGTTGTAGCTAATCTGTAGTAAAATAGCTAGAAGATTAATATTTTTGTAGTTATTCTCTCACTTAGTAAAAAAATAATTTAATTAGGAAAATTTTTGTCACTAATCGCTTGCTATAAATATTAGCTATATTACTTTTTGAAGCTATTTTCTAGCTAAATTGTGTAACATACAATTATAATTAATCTGTAGCAAATTTATAGCAACTATCAAATTGAAAAAATATTAAATTATTGGGAACCATTCTTATAAATTATTTTAGTTTTATAAAAAATACTTGTAAATTTTTCTAAACATATATAATTATAAAAAATAATTTTTGATCTTTGTGAAAAAAATATCAATAA